GCAGCTCACCCTGCCCTGGTACCCTTCTGGCCTCCCCCTAGCCTTTGGAAAACAAGCACCAGGACAGCCATAGTTCAGCAGCTGATACAAGGCAAAGGAAACTCAAACTCTCTCTCCTCCTTGACCCTAATTTCTTTGGGGGAGAAAGGGCAGGCTATGCAGGCTTAGTAATGATGAAGGAAACTTTCTGGTCTGACTGTGATAGAAGCTGAAGTCATGAGAAGTCACAAGACCACATTGACGGCAAGCAAGGGTGTGGCTAGTGATTCATCTTGGCCCATGCTTGGAGTCAGCCACAGTGCCTCGCCCTTCCCTCTTCTGGGCATCAGTGCCTGGATATGGGTATGCTGGTGGGGGCCTTCCAATGGTATTTTAGCAGGGCAATCACTTCTCAAACTAATGCCGCCAGAGCCCTGCAGACACAGAATGTCAGAATTAAACCATGATGACCCTCTGCCATCCTCTCTTAGGCAGCGTGAAGTTTTCCCCAACAAGGATGAGGAAGCCGTGGTGAATATGTATAACACCACAGAGGTGGGAGCGGCCATGACTCCACCCTTCCTTCTGTAGGTGGCTCTGCTTAGCCTCTGGAGTGGGTGGAATGATCAACTCCAGGACACTGCAGAGAGAGTGAGTGTGAGAGCAGGGAGGGAGTGAAGGCACAAGCAGAACATCTGCAGGGGGGCATGGAATGGGGAATGTGTCTGAGGGGAAGCATACAGGATGAGTGAGGGAAGTGCAGGCCCACTCTTGATGTAACCTGTGCGCTTGGCCTTCTATAAAAAATTAGCATTTGTAGCTACTTGAGCAAAACTGCTGGAATACAGTCCACGAGGCCTCTGTTGGCACATTTCTACGAGTTCTCGGTGATGTACCCCTGCCTTCCCGGTCATTGTAAATGTCATCTCTACTTGTGTCAAAATGCAGCATAAATGGGTTTCATCTGCCTACTTCCTCTACAAGGATCTGGGTGACAGGGCTGCAGAGTCAGCCCCTTGGCCCAGTTCTGCACAGTGAACCACACACCTCCACTGGGTGATTCTATCACTGGTATTTAAAGCTGAACCCTGATGGGTGGAGCTGTCCAGAAGAGCATTAGATTGCCCCCTGGGCATGCCCCGGAAGCCAGCATGGGGTGAAGCATGGCAGGTGCCAGGCTGTACTATGGTACTGGTCCATTGTAGAATCCCCCATGACAATTTCTTCAATAACAGGCATACACACAGGCACTTTGAGGATGCTTCTAAAACATCCTGACAAGGCTTAAGAGACTTTCCATTGACTCTGGGATAAAAGGCAGGCTCCTGAAGATGGCATACAAGCCTACCCAGCATGTAGCCTATTCCCCTAACTCAGCTATGTTCTCTTCCTAGACTGCTCTGCCTTCCCTCCCCCGCCTCTCTTCATTTGGCCAACTCCTACTTGTGCTCAAGTTTTGGCCAAAACAGCACCTCTTCCAAGAATCCCTCCCTGACTTATAGCTGGGTGTGTCCTCCTTCTCTGAGTCATGATGTACCCTGTGCCTGCTTTCCCGCAAAGCACTCACTCCTTTTCTGGACATTACTGATTCACCAAACTGTCTCCATAAGCTCTTTGGGGGCAGGGGATGTATTTTTTGCTTTTATGTCTCTAATAATGTATTTTGAAAAGGTAGGAAATTTATAAATGCTTGCTGAATGAATGAATGAATGACTTGACATACAAGTAGAAATAGTTCTGAAATCTACAAAAGAGGTTATTATAGTTCTGATTTGCAAAAACATCAGTCTTTTACTTCAGGCCAGTGTATTGGGTATAAAATTTGGCACAAGATACTAGGACTAATAACAAAGAGCTAGTTCTCCAGAATTTGAAGAAAGAAGCAGAGATCACTAGAAAGTGACATGAGTTCAAGAAAAGTCAAGTCAGATTAATCTTGTCTTCTCAGAAAATACAACAGACACAGTGTCCCTGGATTTCAGCAGGCTATCTGAGAAGGAACAGTGGGAGGAAAGGACACGGGCTGGGTGGCAGTGTAGCTGGGTCCACTCTGGGCCACTGGAAAACTGTGTCCAAGGAACCCACAGTACAGGGCTTGGGGTCTATCTTGCCATCAGTGCCATTGACTTGAATGAGGATACTGAGGGCAGAGAGATAGAAAGAATACACTGCATGACAAAAATCCAGACACTTAAAGCTCTCAAGAGGTCCAAAGAGTGAGCCAAACTGAACAAGAACAAGGCTGGTAAATGGCAGAGGCTGAATGTCTGAGTGCAACGTGTAGGCTTCCGGTGACAGTTCGGTGTGTCAGCTGTGAAACCCAACACACTCAAACGTGTTAATCCAAGTGAAACATGCAAGACAAGGTCACTGTCTGCTGGCCAGACAATCTTGAATCTAAAGAAGACTGACGAGGATGGCAAGGTGCTGCTGTAGAACGGCAGAGGCTAGCAGAGATGGCTTAGTCTTTGTGAGAGTAGGTAAGATGTGGTCAGGGTGCTGTGGTTAGCTCTGCTCAGAGGCACAGAGTGCAGGGGGGGCACAGCCTGCTCCATTTTTCAGTCCACGTGACCTGGCATGGAACTGCAGAGTCTGGAGAAGAGGGTAAGGATATGTAACTCACTACCCTGAGGGGCACCTGCTTTGGTTTGTCCTCGTAGGCCCCTTGTTGTGACTTGCAGAACCTTCACCCATGCTAGCATTGCCTCTAATGAGCTTTTCTAACTGAACTGCCCCAGAATCTTGAAGGCTTGTGGTTGGGAATCAGACCAGGATCTATGGTGTCTCAGGGACAGAGGGATCCATGGTGGAGATGTGGAGGGGAGACCAAATCCAGCTCAGTGAGAGCTGACTAAACAAAAACTGTCCAGGGGTGGGCGATTTACTAGAGAGTGAGCTCCCTGTGCCCTGATAATCAAGCAGCCTATCAGGCAGAGACTTTGGGGATCCAGAATTCCCAGGTTCCATGATTCTTAGACACTGGCAGACCCTGATATGGGCTTGCCCTGTCTACTGATGCCACATTTCTTTCCTATTGGTCTTATCCTCAGCCAGGACTGGTGGTTCATGCCTATAATCCCAGCACTGGAAAGCAGAGGTAGGAGGATTGTGAGTTTGAAGCCAGCCTGAACTATATAATGAGAACTTGTCTCAGAAAACCCCAAAACAACAACAAAATGTATCCTCAATGATGGGGTGAAGCATACAGAGAGGGGATGAGCAGAAGTTAAAGCACAAAATTATTGTTTTACTTTGTGGTAAAATATATATAACATAAAAATTTTCATTTTGACCATCTTCAAGTGTCCAGATCAGCAGTATTAAGTACATTCACCCTGTTGTGCAAACATCACCACTGTCCATCCACGGAACTCTTTCCATTTTGGAAACTGAAACTCTGAACTCATTAAACACTAACTCCCCTTTCTGCTTCCTTCTCCATCCCCTAAAACCACCCTTTTAGTTCCCTTCTCTATGAATTTGGTTATCTAGGTACCTCATAGAAGTGAAATCATATGGTATTTATCCTTTCAGGTCTGGTTCATTTCAACTTAGCATCTGCCTCAAGGTTTGTCCATGTTGCAGCATGTATCAGAATGTCCTTGTTTCTTAAGGTGAGCACGACATTGTTTGACCTGAGCCCTTCTAAGCACACCCTGCTCTAGTATCCTCTATACCTTGAGGATGGAGCCACTTCACCCCCTAACCCAAGCGCACAGTACCGTGTTCATGTATCGCTGAAAGCTAAACAAATATGTATAAATCATCAAGTTCAGAGGGAAAATATGTCCCCTACCAAGCTTGGGAACACTCCACCTAATAATTAAGAACCAAAGTGTTTATTATAAAATTGTGAAGAACTTTTCAAAAAACTTGGAAAAATGTAAATTTAGAGTAACCAATGTTTTAATAAAACTGAGCACATTTTGCCAAGACAGTTTTGTTTGTATGTTTTTGGTGGCACTGGGGTTTGAACTCAGGGCCTTACACTTGCTATCCAGGCACTCTACCACTTGAGCCACTCTGCCAGCTCTGTGTGTTTTTGAGACGGGGGTCTTGCTATATAGCCAAGGTTGGCTTCAAACTCCCAATCCTACCTCTGCCTTCTGAGCGCTGAGATTACTGGCATGTACCACCATGCCAGGGAGGACAGATTTTTTTTAAGTGGTTGAATTTTGGTGATTTATATCTAGCAAAAGCACTTATTAATGATCCTAAAACTGTTATGTCCAAATAGCCACATTTATTCTCTTGTCCTGCCTTCTCAACATTTTCTTTTGATTTACCAAACACTTCCTGCCAAGAGTAAACACGCTTCAAAATGCCAAGGACTGTGAGGATATGTTAAATATATACTATTGTTAGATACAATAATAGAGACTTGGTATGGATTCAAGTATTTTTCTGGGAGGATTCACACAAAAATTATTGATGCAGCTTCCTTTGTGGAAGGAACTGGGAATGATGGAGTGGGGTAAGGATGAAAATGTTACCTTTCTGTGCTGATGGATTTTGTTTTTTATCTTGGCTTTTTTCATATTGTACTTTTTTTTTTTTTGTGGTACTTGGGTTTGAACTCAGGGTTTCACACTTGCTAGGCAGGTGTCTTACCGCTTGAGCCACTCTGCCAGCTGTACATTGTATATTTTAAAAATATTTTCTAATTAGTGGTAGTACAGGTTCTTTTGTTTTTCCTCTTTTAAATGTTCTATACTACAAATCAACACCAGGAAATGTTGCTAAAAAAAAATCAACTCCTTCACAAACTCTAAGTTTAATGTAAAAAAACTGACCAAATTGGCCCATGTGTATTTTCTCATTATTCAGACCTTTATAGGCACCAGTCTTTTCTAATATTAGAGTGGTAATAAATGATTACTCTTTGGGATTCAGCATCAGTATTCACATCACCATTTTTAAGGAGTAAGGGAAGTGTCAGGTGACATGTTAAATGACAAACTCTTCCTTGTTTGCATTTATGTTAAAAAACAAAAACAGAATGAGCAGTTTTCAATACATACCTCTGGTCCACCATCCTGGTAATTCTCCATTAACCTTTGCACAAATTTTTCAACTATTTGTGGTCTTACAACTGAAAAGTTTTCTTTCATGACTTGGTGTTTCCAAAGATCTAGGAAAAACATACCAACACCAGACATCACAAAACACATCATTGATGGCTATGAAATGGCAAAGGTCTGTGACACTGAGCTAGGCACAAGAAGCTGTCCTTTCTAAATACACACGAACCAATGGGTGAGGTGAGGGAGAAAGGAAGTCATCAAGGACCCAGGACCCTCTGGATTGTGGAATAAGGAAGATCTCTAGCCAGATTCCTAATGGAAAGATTGGGAAAAATCATCTCCGGTGTCCAGTGAACAGTGTTCTGCTACCATAACAGCAAGGTGCAGCACAGTGGATGTAAAGGCCACCTCCCCTGATGGAGCTATCTCACATAATACAGTGGGGATATCCCCTCGAGCCTACTCCAGATCACTGCTCCAGAAAGTTTCCTCTTTCTGCTAGGTCGTAAGTTCTCCCCTCCTTCCTAGACCATTCACCATGGGCACATTATTTTTTCCATTTCATAATAATCTTTTGCTCCTTCAAGTATGATATATGTGAAGTGCCAAGGCGAAACCCCCCTGAATGATCAATATACACTTAAAAAATGAAGGACAGGAAGGTAAAACAGGTTCTTTCTGGGGGGTGGGTACCAGTGGGAGGGAGGAGGGGGAAGGCGAAGAAGGGCAAATATGGTTGGTGTTCTTTGTATAGATGTATGAAAATAGAACAATGAAACTTTTTGAAATTGCTCTAAGAAGGGGGAGAAGGGATGAAGGAGAATGATGGAGGAGTGAATCTAATTAAGATGTAATGTAACCACCTAAGTAAATGTCACAATGAAACCCCTTTGTACAACCAATAATAAATAATTGCTAATAATTATTATAACCAATAAATAATTATTATAACCAATAATAAATAATTGCTAAAAATGCTAATAAAAATGTTGAAAAATCTTTCTGTCTTGATTCTACTTCCCTAATTAGCTTTTGGTTCATTGCACTCCTTTAAAGCAAAATTCCCAGAAAGAGATGTCTGTCTACCTGCAAACTGTCTTTGACTTCTCTCAAATTCCCTCTCAAACCCACTTACCCAGTTTCTACTTCCACCCATCTGCTGAATCTAATTTTGTCACAAACACTGATGATTTCCTCAAGGCTAAAGCCAATGGTTGTACTTGTCTACCAGCAGCATTTCAAGCAATTTGTTACTTCCTTCTTTTGAGAAACTTCCTTTATTAGGTGTTGGGACACCACTTTGTTCTGTTTTCCTCCTACTTCACTATTTGTTGCTTCTAGGTTTCTTTGGCTGGCACTCCTTTTTCCTCCCCCCTCCTCCCCCCTTAGAGTGTCCCAGGGCTTAGGCAATGGTCCACTGCCTCCTTTCTGTAGATACTCACTTCCTTGGCTATCTCATCTCATCTACAGCTAAATACCATTCATGTACTGACAACTCTCAAATTTAGATGCCATACCCATGTGGTATAATTTCTTGGAGTTTAAAAGGCATTTAAACTTAACTTATGCATAATCAAATTCCCAATTTTCCTCCCTAACTTGCTTCATCTACTGTTTGTCTCCATCTCAGCTATAGGATTCTATTTTCCCAGTTACTCAGGTCAAAACCTGATTAAGTCATGATTGACTCCTCTCTTCCTCCAGCCCAAAATAGTGCCTAATCTATCACTGCCCCCTTCCAGAGATAATGAGCATTTGACCTTTAATATATGCATGGAGGCACAGAGAGGACGTACAAAAAAGCTAATGAAAATAGTTACATATAAGTGGCAAAATAGGGTGCAAGGGGTCAACAGTGTCAAGGAGACTTCTAAGTGTGTTTTTATATAATTTTGAGTTTTAAATTTATGTTAAAAAATAAACTCAAAATTAAGAAAAATAATATGACATGGCTAGACTAATAAAAGAATGTCAAGACTCCTTAACTTCTACCTGGAAGAACAGAAGCATATGTGTATGCTAATTCCTTGGTGAGAACTGATTGGATAAGGCCTACCTCCCTGTGCATGGTCCCAAAAGAGTCTTGAAAAGCCTCATCCCGCTCCCTTTTCTGTTGTGGCGTTTTGACTACCATAAGAACAATTACCAGCTCACTTCCTGCTCCTAGTGTTCCTACTGTACACTCAGTACTCTGACAGAAGACTCTGTGTACATAAGAACAAAGGTCCAGCCCTGTCTGTCCTGAAATGTGGCTACAACTGAGCTGGAGCCTCCGGTATCTGCACCTACTATTTATGCTATTTACTGAGCAGTCTTGGATTTGAAAATGGGACTCCACAAATCTTCTATAATTGGCTACTTCTAGCTTTGCTTTTTCTTTCTGAAATAAAGACAAGTAGACATATTGCCATTGTCCCAACACAATTAAAATGGACAATCCAAGGGTTTATGTGTCCAGAAGTTCACACTCCTTAAATGTTCAAGACTTGAGTAAGTCTAAGCTTTGACAAGACAGAACACATGTAGATTTTAGAAAAAAATCCAGACAAAAAGCTGGATACCTTTCCAGGTTCTGTTGTGGCAGGTCTCCAACTCACAGAGAAGCCTGGTGAGAGACTACATCTGTCACACACCTCTACTTTGGGGCCCATCACCTGGGAAATCCCTACTGAGCCAGTGTGGGTTTAGCTCTGGGCTCCACTGAAAGGGAAATATTTTACCAGATGCTTGAAGACTTCCCAACACTCTCTTTTTTCATAAGTTCAAGTTCAGACATGCAGCTATATCTGTAGGCCAGAGTTGCAGAGCCAGGGAGAGTGGAATTTATCCAAGGAAAGTAATTCCTAGCAAACAGGAGCTTGCTATCTCCAAATCTGTCTTATTCTCAGTCTATGCTTGTGGTCATGGCTTCTTTAAGATAGAGCAGCAGTTTTGACAAAAGCTTGGAAGTGGGGGGGGTGGGGAACAGCAGTTTAGAGATTAAATTAGAATTTTGCTTTCCCCTCTCACTCTGTTCCCAAGTCCTTTGACTAAAGGAAACTTTGATTTCCTGTTGGCCAAACCACTTCCCCTCTCTCACTGTCCCAACAGCACCCTTGCCCAGTTTCCTCCCTTGAGGAAGGACACCTTGCAACATTTCACTTCCCTAACACAACTATAGGTCTTTTGGGCCTGAGTGGTCTTTGGTCCTAAACAAAGGCAGAACTGAAACCTGAAGGTACAACTGCCAGTCAAGGCTGTTCTCTGGATCAGCTGGTGGGCAGGGATAGGAGCAACAAGTGGGTAGGCAGAAAGGCAGATGGTATTGAATATATGTCCATGCCTTTACTCTTGTGTTTTCAAACTGCTCCTCAGAACATTAATTCCTTGGGTTAATAATTAATGTTCCCAAGGGGGAAAAGGGTTTTCTGCTCAAATAATTTTAAACCATTGCATTCCTCCCTCCCCCTTTCAGTACTGGGGATTGAACCAAGGGCCTTATGTGTGCTACCTCTGAGCTACATCTCCAGCTGCAAACCATTGTATTTTCTTTATTTTCCTGGACACACAATAGTAATGAATAGTGGGACAGTAAAAGCTCCGAAGTCTACAGTAGAGGAAACTTTCAATGTGATTTACCCTGAGTTTTCCAATCTTATTTGGACATGAAACAAATAAAACCTTTCTCCTAAAAAGTACAGTGGACATCTTTTTCTTAAGGCAATCAAGACCAAGAGTTGATTAGTTTGTTAAAAGAAGGCAGTTAAGACCTGGGTGCCGTGGCTCACTCCTTGATCAGGAGGATCAAGGTTCAAAGTCACCCCAAGAAAATAGTTCTCAAGATCCTATCTCAAAAAACCTTTCACAAAAATAGGGCTGGTGGAGTGGCTCAAGGTGAAGACCCTGAGTTCAAGCCCCAGTACACACACACACACACACACACACAAAAACCCCCAAAAAGCCAGTAAAAGCAGAGAATGCTTTACAAATGACATACACTGTATTTTATGTAACTTAAAAATACATAAATTTGCAATCATTTGCCAATAATCCAGGACTTTTCTTTGCACGTGCCCATTGATAGGAGTTTTACACAATTTATCCTCTAGATACCATAATCTACAGTGCATGAGCTACAAGTTCCAGTTTTATTTGTTTTGAGAGAAAGAGTATAAAAATTAAAATGCATCATTTGGTACATTTTCACAATTTTGCCTAATCTTTTCAGTTATCTGTCCTGTAACTAATTTGATATTCTTTTTCTAAACAACTAAACTTTCATTGAGTTTTCCCAAATTTTTCAACTTTAAGTTTTTTTTTAAAAAACTTTTCTTTAAAAAAAAAAAAACTGAGTTCTAAGAGCAGTTTTAGGTTCATAGCAAAATTGAGGGGAAGGTACAGAGTTCCCCAAAATCCTGTGTTCACATAGACACAGCCTCTACTACCATCAACATCCCACCCCAGTGACACATTTGTTACCATCTATGAACTACACGGACACACCATCAGCGTCCAAATCCATCACACCCACCAGCATCACAGCTGCGTTACAAGTCCCTCTGGGTGTTACCTGAATCTACTACTGTAGTATACAGAATAGCTTCACCGCACTAAAAATCCTCTGTGTTCTGCCTACTTGTCTCTCCTACCCTACTAATCCCTGGCAACCACTGATCTTTTTACTGTCTGCATAGTTTTGTCTTTTGCAGAAAGTCATATAGTTGGAATCATACAATATGTTGCTTTTTCAAACCAGCGTCTTAAACTTAGTAATAAGCATCTAGGCTTCCTTCACACCTTTTCATAATGTTGCTAGCTCAGTTGGTTTTAATGCTGAATATTGTAATTACTGGATGTAAATAGAATATCTAGTTCAACTTAGGTTTTCGTTGTTTTTTGTTTTCTTCCCCTCCCCCGCCCCGGCATTGGGGGGTTGAACTCAGGATCTTGGGCTTGCTAGGCCAGCACTCTATCACTTGAGCCATACCCCAGCCTTTCAACTTAGTTTTTACAGGAACAACAAATCTCTTTCTGTATTCTTATTTCATTGGTTTATATACTTTATAATGAAATAACTCAAATTCAACAGCTAAAATCTGCATAAGCAAGTGTGGAGCAAACAACACTC